GAAATTGGATGGGAAGAGAAAAAAGAGGGGAGGGAGTAGGGAAGAGGGGAGGGGGGAGTATATGGTGTACGCACATGGGGTACACAAATGGTATACCCCTAGCGGGACTCATATTTAAAACTTGGGATATGCTAGCGGTACACCAAAAAGTGTACCTCAAATGTACACCACCCTCCTACTAACCATTCATTTTATTTTGTTTTTATTTTTAAATTTTTTTGAAAATTTCTTGCCTTTTTTGTGTGGTGATGGAGGGGGTGGGGATGTTTGGGGTACACTTTTGGTGTACCCTTAGCATTTTCCTTAAAACTTAGAAGTTGATCTGCTAAGCAATATAATACTCCCTCCGTCCCAGGAAGATAGAGACATATTAATCACTAAAGTGGTAAAATAAGGGAAGGATAATTTTGTGTTGATTTTTCAAAAATACCCTTGATGTGATGAGTTAAAGTAGGATGTGATGTGTAGATTATTAGGAAATTAAAAATGTATGATGTGATAGGTATGATATGAAAAAATAAGGGATAAAAGTAGTTTTTCAATAGAAATGAGAAGGACTTTTGGGGACACAATTTTTTTTAAAACACGGAGAGCTTTTTGGGATAGAGGGAGTATAATTATTAGAAATAATCAATGCTTTAAATCCATGATGAAGTTAGAGTGTGGCTTTGATTGATTTTACATATAGGATCTTATGTTTTCTGTGTGATTTATTCCTCTTAAACAGTGATCTCTTTTGCCCCTTAATTTTGAACTTTATTAGAGCTTAAATACCATTTTGTTGTATATTTGATCTGAAACAATTCAACTATTTAGAATGTGCACTCTTCTAACCATTTAGGGAGATGCTAGGGGTACTGGTGTACCCCATTTGTCTCTCACCCCCTCCACAACCACTTATTTGTATTTAATTTTTATTAATTTATTTTTTTTAATTTTTCTTGCTTATTTGAGTGGTGATGGAGGGGGTGGAGGACAAATAGGGTACACCAAAGGTGTACCCCTAGCATTTTCCAACCATTTATCATCTATTACCTTCAGAAGTTTGCCATGATCTGCAACAATTCTACTATTTAGAATGTACACTTTTCATTATTAACCTACTTATCACATCTATGACTTTTACCCATCAAATCTCCGAGCATTTTTGGAAGGTCAATGCCAAAATACACTCTCTTTAAATTCTTTTAAAATCAAAATCAGAAAGATTTTGTGGGACAGAGGGAATAGAATTTTTAACAAAGCTTTTAAATGCTCCATCTGCTTGTGAAAACATTTCTCCTTTATTTTTTCATCCTTCCAAAAAAATATTCTCATTTCTATTAAAAAGTCATTTTTCCCTCTATTAATTCTTAACATATTTATCTCATCATATCTATTCACTATTAATCTACCCATCAAATCTTACTTTTACCCGTTACATCAAAGGATATTTTTAAAAAACACAACACCAAAAACGCTTCTTAAATTTCTTGAAAATAAAAACTTCATATGTTTGTATGGACAGAGAAAATATGTAATTTTTATTTTTTATTTCTATATCAATCTTTTTTTGAGGTAATATCAATCTTTAAATAACATGAATTGAAAAAAATTTAAAACTACAGTGCATTTTGCATAGTAATATACATTCTTTTTTAGATCTAGAGAGTATATTGTTTTAAATTTTGTAGAATGAAGACGGGAAATTAGTGATGCATTGAGTTGTTTTCACCTGAGCACGGGTCAGGTTCGGTCCGACCCGTGATCCGATCCATTTAGGATCGAGTTGGGCATAGGGTTGGGTCGTCCGGTTCAGAAGTTTGACGCTTGGGGTACTTTTAACAAACAGAAAAATAAAAAAGAAAATACTCCGTACTACATAAGAAATTAAGGTTTGTGGCCTCGTGGGGTTTGCGGTTTATTGCTTTTGTTTTCTCCAATTGATTTCAATCAATGCATTAATCCATTACATTATTTTCGGATCGAACTTTATACGGGTTTCTCGTGACCCGAATGTTTTGCCCACCCCTATCAAAAAGTAGGCGAAGTAGATAAGCCCAAGATTTTAAGGGCCCAAATTGTGTTTGAAAAATTTAAATTTAGCTAATAATAAATCCTAAAATTCTGGCTGAGCACGGGTAAGGTTCGGGTCCGACTCGTGATCCGATCCATTTATGATCGAGTTGGGCATAGGGTTGGGTCGTCCGGGTCAGAAGTTTGACGCTTCGGGTATTTTCAACAAATAGAAAAATAAAAAAAGAAAATACTCCGTACTACGTAAGAAATTAAGGTTTATGGCCTCGTGGGATTTGTCGTTTATTGCTTTTGTTTTCTCCAATTGATTTCAATCAACGCATTAATCCATTACATTTTTTTCGGGTCGAACTTTACGGGTTTCTCATGACCCGAATGTTTTGCCCACCCCTATCAAAAAGTAGGCAAAGTAGATAGGCCCAAGATTTTAAGGGCCCAAATTGTTTTTGAAAAATTTAAATTTAGCTAATAATAAATCCTAAAATTCTGGCTGAGCACGGGTCAGGTTCGGGTCCGACCCGTGATCCTATCCGTTTAAGATCGAGTTGGGCATAGGGTTGGGTCGTCCGGGTCAGAAGTTTGACGCTTCGGGTATTTTCAACAAACTGAAAAATAAAAAAAGAAAATACTCCGTACTACGTAAGAAATTAAGGTTTATGGCCTCGTGGGATTTGCCGTTTATTGCTTTTGTTTTATCCAAGATTTCAATCAACGCATTAATCCATTACATTTTTTTCGAATCGAACTTTATGGGTTTCTGGTGACCCGAATGTTTTGCCCACCCCTGTCAAAAAGTAGGCGAAGTAGATCGAGTTGGCCTGGGCATAGGGTTGGGTCGTCTGGGTCTGAAGTTTGACACTTCGAGTATTTTCAACAAACAGTAAAATAAAAAAGAAAATACTCCGTACTACGTAAGAAATTAAGATTTATGGCCTCATGGGATTTGCTGTTTATTGCTTTTGTTTTTTCTCCAAGTGATTTCAATCAACGCATTAATCCATTACATTTTTTTCGGATCAAACTTTATGGGTTTCTCGTGACTCGAATGTTTTGCCCACCCCTATCAAAAAGTAGGCGAACTAGATAGGCCCAAGATTTTAAGGGCCGAAACTGATTTTGAAATTTTTAAATTTAGCTAATAGTAAATCCGAAAATTTTAGGAGTGGGAGTCGAACTTGGGTGGCAAATGGTATGGAGGGAGAAACTTCTTCCACTAAGCTACTAATTAAACTTGTCACACATGCCACATAGTAAAGAATATACATCAAGTATTTTTATTTCATTAAAACTTCCAATTGTTTAGAAATAGAAACAATAGTATCTAATACTCCGTATAATTGTTTTATGAGCTTATAAAAATAGTTCAAAAAATAATTAAAGTTTTTTGTGTTTTATCGAAAAATTAATTTGAATACTTATACCAGAAAAAATATTCTTTCAAAAAATAAATACATAAAAAATTATCGTCATCAACAAAAATTAAAAAATATTTATAAGTTATTTTTTAATATATTAAAATTAATTTTTTCTTTTACTTTTTCTCGTTTCAATTAAATAAATATAAGTGTGACGTGTTACACACGAATTACGAGGTATTATATAAGAACACATTACCAAGTCTTTACTTTTTAAAATATGAGTATGGCCTAACTATTTGATTATTTATTAGATATTCATTATTTATCTTTAATAGTGATGAGAAAAATAATACAAATAAGGAATAGAAAGTGTAACAGTATATGCAAAGTTATATGGAAAACAAGATGGAAGAGTGAAAAATTAAAATTAAAATTCCTTATTAGTTAAAGACATCTAATAATATAGCATAAATATTTCTTTTAATTATGTTTATCGGGTCGTTGATCTCGAGGTCGACTGATTAACCCTTGATCTACTAGCTCGTCCAGGTCAATATTTGGTCTAGTTTTCAAGGCATTGGTTTGGGGAGGTAAGTAGATATAAATCATTATTATGATTTCTTCATTACTCAATTTTTATAATACTAATATGTTAAATATCATCTAAATGTAATTATTTTACACATTTTAATTCGTTCAATCAATAAAGATAAAGATTTTAGGGCCTTTTTTTCCGTCTCGGCCCAAGTCATCAAATTCTTAGGACCGGCCCTGCCAACCCCCCACCCCCCAACAAAAAAATTTAAGAACTTAACCGTGCTACACTTACATCAAAATTTGTACCTCAAACTTACACCAAAGGTATATATACCAATATTTTGACAGTTCATACTGATACAAAGTGTTGGTATATTAACAAAAATTTACATTGACATAAAGTGTTTGTACGTTAACAAAAATTAGCATTATACCAACACAAAATATTAGTACACAATTAGAGTGTACAAACACAATACAAATCCTTGGTACAAGACTACAAGTAGCTTTATCCAAAATTTTAAGGATGTATAAAGAAAAGGTGACAATTGAATTGCAACCAACAACTTGGCATGCAAGGAAGGTATGTGCTCAGTGAAAAGTAAAAACGTGAAAGAGACCTTAACTTCATTCACTCCAAGATCCACATTAATTTATAATTCTCCTCAAAAAACACTCGTAAATCATAAAATCCAATAAAGTAAAATTAAAATAAAAAAACACACACACAATGACACTCTTTTTAACTAGATGTTTTTTCGTGTTATAAAACTATCAAATTTATTTTTAAGTTATTTTTAATTTATAAATCAGTTGATAACGTATTTTTATGTTCTTATAAGTTACTCCATACTTCATACTCCCTCCGTCCCAAAAAGATTTACACGTTTCAAAAAAATTGCGTCCCACAATCCCTTACTCATTTCTATTAAAAAACCATTTTTACCCCTTACTTTTTCAAACTCTACCTATCACATCATACCTTTTTACTAATAATCTACACATCACATCATACTTTTACCCATCACATCAAGGATATTTTTGGAAAGTCAATACAAAATTATCACTCCCTTAATTTCTACTTTAGTCAAAATGTACCTATCTTTATGGGACGGAGGGAGTAATTTATAAGCTCCTCATAGGAAAAACAATATTGTAACTAAGTTTTATCTACTTATTTTAATTCATTTTTTTATTTCGTCATTTTAGCGAGTTTATTTAAAAAATTATCTCTCACTATTTATGAACATTTTCATTTAAAATTAACCCCTTTTGCACACTAAGCTAACACAGACACACACGATATCTGTGCAGGCACAAGATGCATTATGTGTGTGTTGGCGTTAATTTGGTGTATAAATTGGATGCCTCATAGCTTTCAAATAACTTCCGAAGAAAGAATATTTAATTTATAAGTTAAGAACAAAAAACACATCTTTAATTTTTCTGCTCAAGGTGGTGGAATTAAATGCTGCCACAAGCAGCTCTGAAAATCGCCGGAAAACACCGCCTCGAACCCGTCAATGCCGTCATCCACGCCGTGTGGCAAAGGTTGGCAGTAATCCCACCAGAACGAGTCGACGAACGCGTACTCGATCCGAGTTATCGACTCGGTGCAATCTGGCTGCAGCTCCGGCAGCTCTACTATCTCCCCCAGCTCAGCCGGACACGGTGACGCTGCAGCGTCCGCCGTCTCTGCGGAAGTCACGACGGACCGCAGCGAGGAAGACGGCGTGGAGGAAACCGGCTTGTTCGGCGGCGGGTCGAGGTGACTCATCTGAGCGGCTTTGAGGGCGGCGGCCTGGACGTCGTGCGGGAGACACGTGGGAGGGCGGGGCAAAACTCCGGCGAGGTCGGGGAAGTTGAGGAGCGCGGAACGGCCCTTGATGGACATGGCGGCGACGTCGTGGGCCCGGGCAGCCATCTCCGGCGTGGCGAACGTGCCGAGCCAGATCCGAGATTTCTTCCTGGGCTCCCGGATTTCGGATACCCATTTTCCCCAAGCCCGCATCCTCACTCCCACGTACGACGGATGCTTCAGATCACTCCTCCCGCCGCCGCTGCCGGCGGCGCTGTCTCTGGGCCGTTTGTGGGTGGGCGACCAAGAGGACGAGGAGTTGCAAGGAGACTCTTCGGTTTCAGACAACGGTGGCTCCGCCGCCATTACTTAACACTTAGTCGTAGTAATTGTTGATAAACACAATTGTTTATATTATTATTATACTATACGCATTTTGGTGAGAAAAAGATGGGGGAATATATAACAAAGTGAGGTGATTGTTGAGTGTCACCTATACGTTGGGGCAGCACTTTATATACCTAGTATTTGGATGACAAATAATAAGAGAGAATGGGATGAAAGAGAAATATATCCATCCTCGGAGCCTCCGCGCTTGTTTGGAAGTGCTAGTTTTCTAATAGTTTTCATTGATTTTGAAAACGCTAACGCTAAAGTTTATCGTATGATATTTTTTTCAAAATGCTAATTTCTAACACTGATGTCAAACGGAATCTCTATCAATCTTCTGGTTTCACGGTTTTCGACATAATATTTTGAGTTTTAATTAATATCTTTATGGTGGGGTTCCCATGACATTGCCCCCCAATGTCATGAGGTTCTCATAACATTGATCGGCAATATCATGAGATGACCCGAGGACGCTTCAAAGTTAAAATTAACTTGTGGGTGAAAATTGAAGGGCGTGAGGGTGTGTTTGGGTCGGGCGGGGTGGGGGGTTTACTTGGGGGTTAGGGGTGGGAACTATTAATTTTACGAACAGGGTACCGTAGCACCCCCGGGTCATCCAATGACATTGTCGGGCAATGTCATGGGAACCATCCCCATATATATCTTTATGTATAGATAGAGATCTCTTACATCCCGATTCTATATTCGTCCAGTTTGATTTTTCTGAATGAAATTTAATCTTCTTGCACTCCATTTGTATTGTTTATTAATACAATAAAAAATATAAAAATTTTTAACAAAACGAATCTAATAAAATCATTTTTATACTAATATACATTATAGTAGTTTTTATTTAATTGAAGTCCAAAGTAATTGAAAAAAATCCAAAATTTATTTAGTTTGACTCGAAAATTGTCAAACTTGATGAATACACAGGGACGAAGACAATAAATTTTTATAAATAAAAATATACTCCCACGTCCCTAAATAAACTTCCTTTTTTTGACTTTTTGAGGATTTAAGGAGGGATATTTTTGTGTTGACTTTCCAAAAATACCTTTGATGTGCTGTGTAAAAGTAAGATGTGATTTGTAGATTATTAGTAAAAAGGTATGATGTGATAGGTAGGGTATGAAAAAATAAAAGATAAAAGGGTTTTTTAAGGGAAAAGAAAAGTTTATTTGAGCACAAAGAAAAATGAAAGTGGAAGTGTATTTAAGAGCGGAGGGAATAATATTTATAAAATTTTATTCGAAATAAACATTATTTATATTAAATATGTATAGCAATTCAAAAAAATCTGTAATTTGTAGTAACAGTTTAAAAAGATTGATCTTGAAAATCAAATTGGAAAATTTCAAAAGGGATAAAGAGAGTATATTTACTTTAAGGTCCCTTTAGGAAGAAGTTAATTATTTTCTCAACTTTTCAATGTTTGATTGCTCTAAAGAATTATTGTTTGCATTTAAAAAATTGTCACTATGCGCAAAATGAATCAATATGATTTTTTTTTAACTCTTTTCAATTTTTTTGTTTAAATATTGGTATAAAAATAAAAAATTAAATTAAATATAAAAAAATTCATCAAAAGTTATACAAAAGAAGATGTGAAAAAAGATTTTTATTTTATCAAATAATCAATAAAAATATTCAAATAAACAAAAATTTCCGTATTTTAGAATATTTTTGAAAAACCATTATTTAATATTTTAATCTCTAGGTTTTAGATTCTAGTTACCGGTCTTTGGATTCCAATTACAAATCGTTAGACTCTAGTTACCAAATTTAAAAATATAGACTATTGACTCAAAGTTCAAATTAATGAAGGAAAACAGACTACACGGAAAGTGATACGTACAAAATGACTGAAATGGACTCAGAGCTTTCATACTGCGAGGAAATTAAAGTTTGCAAGTTTTTATGAGTGGGACTTGGGAGAGAGTACAATTGTGCCGTGGCCACTCTTTTTGAGTAGCTCTGAAACTTAGCTGTAAGATTTTGGCCCGGTTCGGTGGTCACTAGATTTCAGTGGCCACGAAAGCCACTACCCCTACGGAGCTTTGTTCATAAAATTAATGATTTTTACTCCCTAACTCCCTCGGTAAATCCTCCACCAAGTCCCGACCCCAAATCATCCCCCACTTACGTTAATTGCACTCTGTAGGTATAATTGACTTTAAAGTCAAAAATTCTGACTCCAAAGTCAACTAAACTTGCACCCCGCAATTGACGTGGTTAGGGGGATGAGTTGGGATGAGGACCGAGTAGGGGGTTTATCGGGAGGGTTAGATGGGGTAGAACTATCAATTTTACGAACAGAACACCATAGGTGTCTCATTTGTGTGAGTGGCTTCCGTGGCCACTCTTTTTGAATGGCTCTGGAACCTAGCCGTAAGATTTCGGCCTGGTTCGGTGGCCACTGGGTTTCAGTGGCCACGTAAGCCACTGCCCCCTACGGAGCTTCGTTCATAAAATTCATGATTCCTACTCTCCCTAACTCCTCTGGTAAACCCCCCGCCAAGTCCCGACCCCAAATCATCCTCTACTTACGTCAATTGCACCCCGTAGGTATAATTGACTTTAAAATAAAAAAGTTTGACTCCAAAGTCAACTAAACTTGCACCCCGCAATTGACGTGGTTAGGGGATGAGTTGGGATCGGGACCGGGTGAGGGGGGTTTATCTGGAGGATTAGAGGGGGTAGGAACTATCAATTTTACGAACGGAACACTGTAGGTGTCCCATTTGTGTGAGTGGCTTCCGTGGCCACTCTTTTTGAGTGGCTCTGGAACCTAGCCGTTAGATTTCGGCCCGGTTCGGTGGCCACTGGGTTTCGGTGGCCACGAAAGCCACTGCCCCCCTACGGAGCTTCGTTCATAAAACTGATGGTCCTACCCCCCTAACTCCCCCGGGAAACCCCCTGCCAAGTCCCGAACCCAAATCATCCCCCACTTACGTCAATTGCATCCCGGTATAATTGACTTTAAAGTCAAAAATTTTGACTCCAAAGTCTAGTAAACTTGCACCCCACAATTGACGTGGTTAGGGGGATGAGTTGGGATCGGGACCGGGTGGGGGGTTTATCGGGAGGGTTAGAGGGGGTAGGAACTATCAATTTTACGAACGGGACACCGTAGGTGTCCCATTTGTGTGAGTGCCTTTCGTGGACACTCTTTTTGAGTGGCTCTGGAACCTAGCCGTAAGATTTCGGTGGCCACTGGGTTTCAGTGGCCATAGAAGCCACTGCCCCTCTAAGGAGCTTCGTTCATAAAATTGATGATTCCTAACCTCTCTAACTCCTCCGGTAACCCCCCTGCTAAGTCCCGACCCCAAATCATCCCCCCACTTACGTCAATTGCACCTCGTAGATATAATTGACTTTAAAGTAAAAAATTCTGACTCCAAAGTCAACTAAACTTGCACCCCGCAATTGACGTAGTTAGGGGGATGAGTTGGGATCGGGACCGGGTGGGGGGTTTATCGGGAGGATTAGAGGGGGTAGGAACTATCAATTTTACGAACGGAACACCGTAGATGTCCCATTTGTGTGAGTGGCTTCCGTGGCCACTCTTTTTGAGTGGCTCTGGAACCTAGCTGTTAAGATTTTACTACTTTATCTAGTTCTTTCGTCTCATAAAATTTTTAATTTTTTTCACTTGTTCAACAAAAAATATCATTTGTATTATAAGGTTACTTTTACCTCTATTAATTTTTAACATACCTGTTACATTACATTTTTTTACTATTAATCTACCAATTACATTCTATTTTTACACATCACATTCAAAGACATTTTTGGAATGTCATACTAAACTACACTTCTCTTATGGGATTAAAATTATCTAATCCGTGTTTTGTGGCCATGCTGAGTCTCAAGAATCATCGCCATGCCGGTTTTGTGGCCGGTCCGTGTTTAACAACATCAGTCTCTCTTTCCTAAAAAAAGCATTGGTCTCTCTTTGAGTGGGATTAAAATTAGTCACCTATGTATATATATGCTCATATGGGATTTTCATCTTCAATAAAAAGTCCCATTTCAAAGTCCCACTTTGTTTGAATAAATAATTTGAAAAGGAAAGAAGAATTGAGTTGGGATGATCCCATTTATTTGTTTGTTTGCATACAATAGAATAGGATCATATATACATTTATTTATAGTATATATAGATGATCTTATATGTTTTGGTAATGATTAAACATACTCCTTTTTTATGTCAAATATAGTTATTTTATCCTATGCATGTTTTCCTAATGATTGAGCAATTTCATGAATCACAATGGAAAAAATTTTCTTTTACACTATGTTGGGTTCAAGGAATTCGGAAGAAAAGAAAATAACCTTCTTTCATTTTCCTCACCAAAATGAGAGAATTTAATTTTCTTTCCTCTTAGTACATTTTGTCTTTTTATTTTCTTTTCCTTCTATTTTTCTTTTCTTTTTTCCTCTATAACCAAAGAAGAAAAATGTTTTCCTTCATATTTTCTTTTCATTTGTCTCTCAAATTTCTTGAACCAAAAATAGTGTTAACTGTTAAAGAGCATCCCACATCGGAAAAATGTGAGGAAATAATCCGGTATATAAGTTCTTGAATTATACTAACTAATCGATTGAATTCAATCTTTTAATGTGATTCAACTCAATTGTCTTATTGCCCAATCCAGTTGTCCATATCCATCCTAAATTCTACTCCCTCTGTCCTATAATGATCTTTCTGGTTCGCAAAGCGAAGAAAAATCCCAAGTTTTTTCAATCGACTTTATTTAAATATTGGTATAGGGAAGAATATTTTATTTTATCATATAGGCCATGAAAAAACACAAATAAATATAAATTCCCATGAAGTTGGAATAGTGCTCTGGAAAGATCATTATAGGACGAAAGGAGTATCATTAACCCAATCAAAAACGCCCTTAATGCCTAAAAATTTTCACTCCGGAATTTACCCTGATCACTTGGCCCAGTAGTACATAAGAGAGGTGCTAGAGTCACAAACACCTTGATCACAAAATACACAGCCTTGCCATTTGTGTATTTAAATGCTTACTTTTTAAATATTTAACATTATTTAATTCACTTAGTGAGGTACACAAATAGCAAGG